TATCTGGAGTGGCCACCTTCTCTGGAGTCGTACCCTGCAATTTAGAATTAGATATGTTAGTACTATGCTTTAGCCCTGCAGGGCTATTAGCTACATTGTCTGGTTTAACGGAATCAAGATTAGCATTATTTAATAAAACAGGTTCATCAACTCTGGGCATAGGGGGCCCTTCATAGTTTGAACCACTCCTTAGAGTAATTTCATAGGCTTGATCCGTAGGCCTGGTCGGCTGTGCCGACAGAGCTCCCTGTTGGCGGGCTTGTAGAGTAGCAAAACGTTGCGCAATTTGATTATCTACAATTTTATTATGTGCTAGAATTGAATCAATTTGCGCATCTCTACTCTCCATGTGCTTCTGCATATTAACCAACATCGCTCTAATTTCTACCAAAGCGGGGTCGGAAGATGAGGAGGATTGTTGTGGTTGGTTCTTCTGGCCAGCGTTGGGATGGTAATATTTCTGCTGCTGTTGTTGTGGCGCCTGTGGTTCTTGTGGTGGTGGATTTTGAACATTAGTACTCCGGTAGGAAAGGTACGGATGATTCCGATACCCAGGATTGTAGGTGTTGGAGTATGGGTTATTCTGCCTATAAGCTTGAAAGGCATTAACTTGCTCCACGGAACTCCTACAATCTTGTTCCCAATGACCTATAATTCCACAATTTTCACAGAAAGCCTCATTAGCATTATTATTAATTGCAGAATCATTAGCTATATTAGCAGTGCTAAGATTATCTAATTTTTGGCAGATAGCGGTCAATTGAGCTTGCAAAAAGGATACAGAGTCAACACTATGCTTCCCCTTGTTAGCAAAGCCTCTAGGATTCCCATATTGGGAATTATGTATCGTCATATCTTCAATAACCTGACCTGCATCATCAACATTAAGATTCATAAATCTCCCATTAGCTGCGGAATCTAAAATTATTCTAGATGAATTTCCAATGCCATTGTAAAAGGCTTGGATTAACTGTCATTGTGCCAAATTATGGTGCGGGCATTCTCTTTGTAGGTCCTTGAACCTCTCTCAAGCCTCATATAGAGTTTCATCGGCTTCTTGGGCAAAGTTATGAATCGCACTCCGTAGTACGACTGTTCTCTCTGCAGGATAATACTTGTTATAAAAATTCAAAACAAGAGTTTCCCAGTCAGTTATACCAAGTGAAGTTCTATTTAAACCATTAAACCATAATTTAGCTTTTCCAGTTAAAGAGAAAGGAAAGAGAATCTCCCTGATTTGGTCTTGTGTGACCCCGGCTTGCCTGATGGTATTACAATACTGACAATAGTCTGCAATGTGAAGATTTGGGTCTTCACCCTTAGCTCCACTAAATTGCTTCCTTTCTATCATCGTTATACATTGGGGTTTAATCTCAAATTGTACCCCATCAAGAGCCGGAGTGGGAGTGAGATGTGGAAAATCTGTAAGCTTTGGTTGTGAGTAATCACTAAGCTTCTTTGGAGCCGTCATCTCTGATTCTGGATCTGATGATACCTCTGAATCGCTAGAACCAGTTGGAGGATCTCGGTGATTATTATTATCACCAGAATCCGCCAGAATTTGCTTGTAGAAGTTCTTCTGTCTATGAAAGGATCGTTTGATCTCAGGATCGAATGGGATATACCCTGATCTGGAACACCTGGGCATAAACAAAAAAAACTAAAAGAAAATATGAGATTTGCCTCAGAGAACTAACGTTCTCTGAGACAAAAAGAAATAACCTAGACTACAAAAATAATCAGAAATAAAAATAAAATCGTTCCCACGGCAACGGCGCCAAATTTTGACAGGGTAAAGTCATATCCCCAAATCAAAAGTAATTCCTAAATCCTCTAACTAATGTAGATAGGGAAGTAGGGTCGAATCCACAGAGAAACGAGTCTTTCTATTCCTAATTAACTAATATAATCTAGACTATGAAGTAACCAATATATAAATTTGAATATGAAACTAAACTACGAGATTAAGAGTAGAGAGAAAACAATGAATAAAAGGACTTAGGGCATAGGTTCACCAATAAATAATATTTCAGGGTAGAATATAATAATCATTCATCAATGCATACATTAATCAGATCATAAAGGGCTTTCGCTACGTATTACAATCACACAATTAATTTACCGGTATTAAATCTCATCTTTCGAATCTCGACTTAACCATTTATAAATTAACCTGCCTATTCAAACTAGACCTAAACATTAATTCTCATCTGTCGAATCTCGAATCAATATTGTTAAACTCATGCATAAAAGATCTGCGCAAATCTAGTCACAGAGCATCAATTCAATCAATAGGAAATTAATCTAGCATTGACAATTAACAACAATAAATTACCCCTTCATATTATTTATGGATCCCCATAAACCCTAGAAATAGAACTACTCACACATAATAAAAACTAAACTAATCAAAGCAATAAAACAAGACATGATCAAAAGAATAAAATAAATAACTAAGATTAAGAGAAAAGAAATCTTTACCAAACAAATCTGGAATTAAGAATAGATTAAGAACAAAGTATAAGAGAGAGAAAACTAATCTAAAATCTAAGTAGAGAGAGAAAATCTAAGAAAATAATTAAGAGAGTAAAGAAGAGAGCAAAAAAAAGTTTCTAAACTCGTTTTACGGAGAAGTATTTATACTCCGTAAGAATCCTAAACTAAAACAAACTTAAACGTCAAAAATTAACTCCTAATAATAACACGCGCCCGATCGGGCGAGGCACCACCCGATCGGGCGCGCCTTTTTGCTCATCAGGTACGCTCCTCGCGCCCGGCCGGGCGCGTCTTCGGGCGCCGACCTTTACTTCCCTCGCCCGGCCGGACGCGCCTCCGGGCGCCAGCCTTTTTGGCCGGGCGGCTCTCTTGGGCCACTAATTGGACTACGATTGGGCTCCAATTCTTCTGGCCAATCTGGGTTTCCTCTTCAGGTCTTAAATACTCGGTCCAAATGCCCCGGTATCAGATATACCGAGCCCTTAATCACCGGTTTGATGGCTCTAACCGGCCCTAGGCTATAAAAACTGGTCATGTTTCTCCAGTGCTCGTAATTGCTCCATAATATCTCGGGAAAATGCTCCAAAAGTGCAAATCCCTACAAAAGTCAACCAAATTTACGAAAACACTAGAAAACACCAATTAGTAATAAAAGTGGCTCTAAAGAGCCAAAAACACTACTAATTATGACCAAGGAACGGGGGTAAAATACTATATAAAATAGATACATCAACCACAATCACAACCCCATCGTCCCTCCTATCGCGCACCCAAACTGGGGAAAGGAGATCAGGGAATGGAAAGGGGGAGAAATTCGACGGGGAAAGGGGCAGAATTCGATGGGGAAAAGGATGGGTAGGCGGAATCCGGCAGGGAAGGGGCGATAACGGTGGTAAAGGGGGAGAAAACGGCGGGGGAACTGGGGAAGGGAGAAGGTCGATGGTCGCCGATTAGGATTCGCAGCGGCTGCCGCGTGGACGATAAGCCAAGGGATTTATTTCTCCCTGCCGGCGCGGCTGTCGCTTGCCAAAAACGACAGGGGCGCCGTTGCTGGAGGTGTCAGATTGCCACGTCCTGTTGGTCAAGGGGTTGGGGTTTTTAATTTATTTTTTGTTATTTTTATGTAATTTTGTTTTTGTTTTGGTTCTGTTTTTTTTTTTAATTTTGTTTAGACCTATCACGTGTGGACACGTGTCTAGGAAACCTGCTACATCAAGTTAGATGACCGGTTGGGTGTAATAGAAATTAATAGGGTACAAAGTTGGGAGTGATAGTGAATAAACAAAAGTTGGGATTAATGTTGGCGGATGAGGCAAAGTTGAGATTAATGGTGGAAATTTTTCCTTAAAAGTATGTGTTGGCAAACATGCCTAGCTAAATGGAACATGTCAACTTATAAAAAACAGATGAAGTATTTTTTTAAGGAAAATCGGTCGAGATTTTACAGAGGAAGCATTAAACATTACTAAATGTTGATCTAACACTTTTTTAATCATAAATTCTTAATATTTTACAACTCAATATTGTTAATGTTTATAGCCACAATGGCTATTTGTATTATAAATTTTTTTTTTTAAAATCCATTGTTGTAATTTATTACTCATTTTAAATGACCGATTATTACATCATTCTTTTTAGAAAATTCAGGTTTCATGTTAGAAGGGATGACAAAATTGTATTCAACTGACTTACAAGAATAGTGTCATTCAATAACAAACTAGTGTGTGGCCCGCGTGTTGCCCTGAATTGCTAGTTTGTACTTTTTTAATTTGATAATTATGTTCAATTGTCTGTATAGTTAGTATATGATCCGGACATTACCTCGGGTGTTATTTTTTTTTTAACCTCATATGCATGTATTTATTTTCTTATCTTGTGAAAAATAAATAAATTATACAACCTTTAATTTACTTAATTAAATAAAAGGAATATATAATGTTATGTGAAATTTAAATAAATTAATAAAAGTTGGTTGAGATGATAAACGTATGACCTTTATGTGTTGGAGGAACATGCTTGAATTTAACTCAAAGTATAATTTTTTACGCGGTGCATATACTTTAGATAATGACGTCACTGACGTGCCATTGTGATATACGTAGTATACTTTAAAAAGTGCATGTGGCACCGTTTCTTTAAAAGAAATACATTTATTCTTTTAATAGATAATAATAATAATTATAATAAATAAATATAGATAGATACTATAGATATAGTTAAACCATAATCCTCATTACTCCATATGTTCTTATGTGTAATTTTATTTTTTAAATACGATTAATATACACACCTACGTTCATTTTAATACATTCTATTACTCGTTTCATTTACCTACTTATTTTGACTTGCTCGGCCATAGCCATAAGCAGCGGGGTCACTATAAAAATAATCTACTATTCAAGCAAATTTTATACTATTAAAAATTAAAAATTCCACAAAAAAAAATTATAAGTCATATAAAATCCTTGAAAAAAAGTCATGTAAAGTACAATACATAAATAATTCTAAGGTAGTTTCCCTCGACGAGGTTTCATATTTTGAAAGTGGTACATAACAATTTCATTGGAAATAGTCTCACAAATATCCCTTTCAATGTATGCCACCAAACAATTATTCAAAAATTGATCACCTATCTTATTACGCAATTCGGACTTCACATATTTCATGGCAGAAAAGGCTCTTTCCACACTTGCAGTCGCAACTGGTAAAAGCAATGCTAGCTTTATGAGAATATGTACCAATGGATATATCACATATTTCCCTGTTTCAACCATCACTTTACAAAGATCACCAATTCCAACAAGACCTTGAAACTCATCACGTTGTCGCACATCAATGATAAAGTTTCTCAACTCAGAAGAAAGTCCCCTAATATCATTTGAATCAAAATCATAGGGATATAGTTCTGCCATTTTTACCAATTTCACCACATCAAAATTATGGAATGAGTTCTTAGGACACAAGCAAGCCACACAACGGAGCAACTCCGTATTGGTTTCATTGAAACGATTGTTAAGCTCTTGAAGTTGTAAATCAATAGTAGCATAAAACACCTCTACGCGATAGTGATGTTCATAAGTGATTTTTGGAGCATTTCTCTTTGGTCTTCCTGGAGTCATATAAAAATCATTCATGTTAGGAACATCAATATCATGACCATAACAAAACTGATTTACCTTTTCTAACAAATCCTCAAACTCATCATCTCTCATCAATTGGAGGCGTTGCTTGGATGCTCCGACCAAATCCATTGCATTGATAATATCTTGATCCTCCCTTTGCAATGCTAATGATAACTCATTTGTGATACCCAAAATATCAAACATGAGGTGCAGTATGAATGCAAAATCAAATGAGTGTAATGAAACCATAAGACCACGTGCATTCTTTCTATGTCCCGAAAAAGAAGCATCACTATAAATGAAATCCAATACATCAATCACATCTGGGTACAACTCAATCAAATTCAACAATGATTTATAATGAGATCCCCACCTTGTTTCCCCCGGTCTTTTTAGACCAAGTTCTTGGTTTAACCCCTTTCCAGTTTCAATCTCACCATTATTTATTTGCTCTGCAACTCTCATGGCACGTTTTTCTCGAAGAATATCTTGCCTCTTACAAGAAGATCCAACAACATTGAGTATATCAGAAACGACATCAAAGAACCAAATTACATCAACATGATTCTTAGAAGTTCCTACAAGTGTTAATTGTAACTGATGGGCAAAACAATGAACATAATAAGCTGACCTATTTTCATTCAAAACCAATGTTTTAAGTCCACCAAATTCACCACGCATATTACTTGCCCCATCATAACCCTGTCCTCGTACACTTGTCATACTTAACCCATTTTCCAACAATAAAGATTCAATGGCAGATTTGAGAGATATGGCACAAGTATTAGGAACATGCATAAGTCCAAGAAAACGTTCCACAACCAAACCCGACTTATTAACAAAACGCAACACAACAGCCAATTGCACTTTGACAGAAACATCACTAGATTCATCAACTAGTATGCCAAACAAATCACCTCCAAGTTCTTCAATAATAGCTTTAGTTGTTTCTTTAGCACATGCATGCACAATATCTTTTTGAATACTAGGAGCAGTCATTTGTAGATTTTTGGGAGCATTGTTTAACACAACTTTATCAATTTCACCATTCAAAACAGCAGCAGCTTTTACAAGTTCAATGAAATTTCCCCGATTACTTGACTCATCAGATTCATCATGACCACGAAATGCCAATCCCATCCGCAACAAATATCTAACACATACAATAGATGTATTTAAACGAGTCTTATAATCATTTTTCATTTGAGGTGTTTGCAATGGATTGAATGCTGTTTCAATGGAAGCATGGGCATTTTTCAGATTTAAATATTTTTCAACAGCTTTACTGTGTGAGCTTTCAATATCACCAACATGCAAATCTAACCTATCCTTTTTATTCCAAGATGAAAATCCATCAACAACAAAAGCATCACCCCCACCTTTATACCCCTCAGGTTTGAACAAGTAGCAAGGCAAACAAAACAATGCATCTTTTTTAATGCTATATTCTAACCAATTGCTATAATCATCATACCAACTAGAGTTAAATCTTCTCAACTTATTGCCAATCAATTTTTGGGGAAAGATATGAATGCGAGGTTGGATAGGACCAATGGTAATATATTTTTGTCTTACCGCCTCTTGGAATTTAGAAGGATAGTCTGAAATTCGTGTTCTTTCTGCTGGATCAATTGGAAGATTTTCTAAATCAACTTGCTCATCACAATTAGGAACGGGTTTAGACGATTTTGGGGTACTCCCACTTGTACCTTCATCCGCTCTAGCCTTTTTCCTTATTACAAATTTGTCCATAACTGAAAAAAAAATATGAAATATACATATATTAATTAGAGTCTAGACAATAACAGTAAAAAAAAATCTTGTCACTTTCGAACATTCAAGAAGGTATATTAACATGTTGTATAGGTTAATACTTAAAAGGTATAAATCTAATCTAACTATTAACAAATATTAATAATTTGATACTTAAATAATTCATATAAACTAAAATTAAAATTAAAGAACATAAAAAATTAAAAACCAAAAAAAATATAATAATAATTTACCGTCAGACTCGCATGCAAGTCGCAGCCGCACAACCAAAGCGTGAATATTGTCTATTGATTGTATTCTTCTTGGATGATTGGATTAAAAAAAAATAGATTTTGCTTTTGAAGGTTTGACTTTTGATTGTTGGGTGAATTTAAAAAGTGTAGTTTTATAATGATATTAACAAGAAAAAGAGTAAAGAAGTGGAAGAACAAAGAAACAAACTGTAGAAAAAGTCTACATTCACTTACAAAAATAATAAAGAAAAATAAAAATAAAATAGGAGTCATAATAGGAAGTCTTGGAAACGAAAATTAGGAATATAAAATTTATCTTTATTTTTTTTTTACCTTTTTTTTCTAAGAATATGGAAAGTCTGTTAAAAGTGGTCAAATAGGGGTCACTTTTTAGCTATAAGTGAGGTCATCTTTGTATATATAATATTTTTTTCTGTACTAGCTTTTTTATTTATAGAAATTTTTTTCACCAAGTGGGTTCCAGTGCCCCCCTTATTTCCACATACATCCGCCACTGGCCATAGCCCAATCCCAATCGGTCTCAAACCACCTAGTCGTGGGTCAACATCCAATCGACTCGATAACCCGAATCAACACCTCTTAGTCCTGGAGCAGCTGAAAGGGGAGCGAAAAAGTCGGCCTTTTTTCATAGAGGTGCGCACATTGTAGGCGTCGCCTGTAACTGTCAAATTGTCATTCCCTTATTACAAGAACCTATCCGTTTTTAGTTTTTACTCTTTCTTTACTATCTTCAGTGTCTCAACAAAACCCTAATCTACTGCAAACCCTCACCTCCTTCTCTTTTTCTCTCTCTCTCCAACCCCACATCAGTCACCACCCCTCTTTCATTTCTGTCTCCTTTCAAGAATCTATCCTTACTGTGTTATTCTTGGTGGGTGTTTGACTATGATCACAACCTACCCATTTTATATAAGCCACAATTCCATTTATCCCCTTTCTTGATCGAACAAATTTGGGTTTTAATGGGGTTTTTTTGCTTTATTCTAGCTTTATCAGCATTGAATTGAAGTGGGTTGCTGTTTAATTGTCAGAAAAAAAAAGTTCATTTTTTTTTGTTTGAGTAATTGAGTTCTTGGGTTTTAGGTTGAATTGATGGAATGAATTTGTTTTTCTTGAGGTTTTGTTGGTTTATTCTAGCTTAAGAATCCTTGAATTGAAATGGGTTTGTGTCAAATTGTGTAATTTTCAAAAAAAAAAAAAAAAAAAAAAAAATAAAAAGTTCAAATTTTTTTTTTGGTTTGAGGTTTTTGAAGTGAGGGTTTTAGGTTAATTTGATTGAATAAAAGGATTGATTGGTTACGATTCGAGTAATGACAATGGCGGAGAATGACAGTGTTGATGATCGTAAGGAGGTGAACGAGAGTGTAGGTGATGGAGGTGGCCCAAAGTCACCATGGAAAAGACCAGTTGATAAGGTGGCTGATTCACCTGTTATGGGAGCTGATGCTTGGCCTCCCCTTGCTGATGCTCAGCGCTCTAAGGTCCTTGAAGCTCCTCCTAAATTGCCGGTTTCCGAGGGCGGTAATTCCGGTGGAAATCACATTGCTAGTAATGCACAGGTAAAAGAAGTTCATTGATGTTGTTTTAGTCGATTAATTTTTGAATAGTGTGAGTTCTATTTTCAAATATTTGATGATTTATTATATTTATTTGAATCTTGGTTATGTTAAAAGTTTGAGGTGGCCAAATAAGCATGAGTAAATTGTAATGTTGTTCGGAGCAAATTTGATTCAATGTAATGGTAATGTATTTCTCACTCTACATTTTTTATAATCAAATTCATGTGTACAATCAATTAATTAAAATGAACCTATTTCATCCCGGATTCACGTCAGTCTATTCGTTGTCCTTCCCTTCTCTCTCACTCTTTCTTCTGAATTCCCGATGCAAGGTCTGTGGAAGGTAAGGAAAGCTTTGAATTTGCCCAAATTAAACCCATGATTCAATGTTTCACTTCTCATCCTAGCTCTAATTAATTGAATTTTCCGCTGTTTTCCTTTTCTCTAACAAAGTTTATTGTTCCCCATCGCCATCTTCAATGCAAAATTGTTCTCATTGCTATTTTGTTCTACATTGTAATCTTTTGGTCTGGTTTAATCCTTTATTTGGTCACTAAGTTTTCGCTATTTGACTATATATTTTGAAAACATAATGCTATGTGCTACTTGTATGTATTTGGTAATCAACTCTCTAATGAGTAAGAGGAATATTGCGAAACCACATGTAATCAGAATTACATAGCAGATTTCATGTTGAGTCTTCAATGTGAGAAGATTATGGCTTGCCTCTATTTAATCTCATTGAAAGTGATCTTTGAGGTAATATAATCTATTCTAACATACAGGATATGAGATATCTGCCAAAATAACCAATTTTGGTAATATCAAAATAATACTTCATTCTGTTACTTTATATTCATTATACAATACATTATTGGAAAAGCGGAAAAAGAAATATAGTATCTGCATTTTTTGGTAGCCGTTGAAAAGTCTTCCTTTAATAATGTACTTGATATAAAATTTAATTAGATAAGAGTCATTATTTACCAACATATATGAAAAAAGATTTAAATCCTTTTTTTATATAAATTTAATTTTTTCCCATTAATTTGTACCACTCTCTATCCCATTAAATCTTATAAGCCTACCTCATCACTTTTAGGGCCCGTTCACATTTACTTAATTTCATTCCATTTTAGTTCAGTTCAGCTAATTTTCCTCTCATAAAATATTCATTTCAGCTCAGCTCCAATCAGTTCAGTAAATGTGAACAGACCCTTAATTATTTGTAATTATTAAATATTAACAAATTGAGTTGCCTAAATGAAAACCTCATTTCTCTGCCTTCCCCTTTGTCATTTACAGTACCATTGGCCATGACAACCACTAGTCCACAACCCTATTGCTTCTTCTTTCCTTTCCTTTCCTTATAACCTTCATGGATGACCATTGCAATTTTGCGCAATCAAGCCACAATTTATACTCAGAAATTAGCCATCGTCAACTCATTTTGACTGTCAATTTTTTCGTTCTCATTCTTTCTATTGCTTGATTTCTATATTTGCTTGAATACTTATGTAAATTGCTGATTATATTATGGTGGTTGCTGGTTTTCATGGGAGGCGACATTCCAAGAAGATGGAAGATTACAGGGAAGTTGTATTTGAGTTTTAGGGAGTATGCTTTTATCCCAAATAAAACAAATATTAAAATGAAAATGGTAAAATGGAATAGTGGTACACTGCATTTACTGTAGAATTTTTTCCTTCACAAGATAATCGAGGAGTCATATGGCTGAAATTACAAATTTAGTATTGGTGCACACAAGTAATAAATGACAAAGTTTCATTCTACTTTCACCTTAAGTGGTCTTACCATCAAATTTTGGGTAAATGTAGTTATTTGATTTCTGATTTGGCTCTCATTGTAATATTTTTAGCTTTCTCAATCAATTAATATAATTGAAAGCTAAGTAGAATCAAGTATTAAGCTTCTCATTCAAGAAAAACTCTGCCATGCTGCCGGTTTAGATAAGTGCTTCAGTCAAAATAATGAAGGCAAGATTGTAGTGAATTTTATTTGAATAGATGCTTTCACTTCAATAGGCACAAAAACTTAGGAAGAATAAAGGGCAAACCAAAAGTATATTTTGCATTGACTAGAGTGATTTGGCAATTACTTTGCCCTGCTCAATGCATTTTGTGCTTAAATCTTCTGTTTACTTTATTTATTCTCCATATCAAAAGAATACCTAATCTTTTGCACTCCCTCTATCCCATAATATTGTGCTTCTTTTTTTGACACTTAGGTTTAGATGATAGGTTGTAGTGTGGTTATCAATTTTTATTTTAATAAAACAAAGATGTGATGGGAGATATTAAGTATTATTTTTATTGAAGAAAGAAGACCCTAACTTGTGGTAGTGGAAGGAGGGGTAATTATGTTATAGTTGGTTATTGCCTTTTACTGAAGGGGGCAAACTAAATTGCAATAAATGAAAAGGGCACACTATTTGTGATCGAGGGAGTATGTAGGGTATAAAGTAGCGAGAGATAGAGGGACCATGTTATCAAATAAGGAAATGAGATCTTTGGGGACAAACGAAAATGGATCATGGGGCAATTGTTTAGGAACGAAGTACCATTTATGTCACCAATGTCTGATAATGGAATGATATCTAGTAGCATAATAGCTTTATTAATATCTTGTTGTAATGTTTATCTATGTGATGTCGCTTGCTCATTATGTCACTTCTGTTACAATAAATGAAAGTATGTCAATTATTACTATTATAGTATATGTTGAAGCTCATGATGGGTCTATCACTTCACTACATTTGGTATGAATTTGACACCGAGATATAATAAGATGTTAAATGTTCCCTTTACGGTCATAATTTGTATTATGCTTTTCTGTTTTGTAGGGCTCTTCTGGGCAACATAAATCTTCAAATGCTAGACATGGGCACAACCGTAATCACAGAAATGGATCAAGGCGTAATCCAAATAGCGTGCCTCCTTTCCCTGTTCCTCATGTGCCATATTACCAGCCAGTACTGCCACATGTGTACCCTCCCATGGTTCCTTCTCCTGTTCCGCTTCCTGGATATGGCTACCAGTCATGTCCACCCCCTTTCCCAGGGGCTGAGGCTGGCAGTGAAACTCTCATGCAAAATTTTATTCCATCCAGTCATGGTGTTGATGCCAATAGAAATGTACAATCTCCA